TATGGTTGAAAAAGAAGAAGAAATTATTGATGTGATATAAAATATTATTTTATTGAAAAATGTGTGGTTGAAAATGAGAATTGATTTACTGTAAAAAATGGGAATCCCTACCAGACAGGCCCTAATCTCTTCTAAACGAGGGCTTAAATTTTACCGCTTCCAAAAAATATTTCAAAGGGAAAAAACATTTGGCTCTCGTAGTTTGGAGAGACAAATTTACTCTCTACTTTAAAATATTAATTTCAAAAGTCTTTCGGAACATAATTTTAAAGGTTGATTTTTTAGAACAGAGAGCATCTTATGTTTAAAAAACCTCCACGGAGAAGCTAAATGAAAGTTCATGGATAAGCTCTCAACAAGGCATAAGTAATCATTCTTTGCTTCTACGTGTTATAATCCAACTCTTCGGCAAAGTAGCGCCAAAGCCTCGACGTTTTTCGGAGGATAGTATTCCTCAACCTTTACCAACCAGTTTGCGTCTACATTCCTCAAGGAAAACCGTCCAAGGCCAATCACACCGTGCTTCTCTAGCACACACCCATCTTAATTCACTATAATGACCCTTCGTCTCCATGGACGAAGACTTGAAAAAAATTAATTGACCCAACTTATTGCATGTATTGTCCTCCCATCTGCCTATCATTGTCTCAAGCTCCTTTCTTCCTTGGTGGCAACATCAATCAATAAATTAGCATCTCTTTCGTCCCCATGGAAAACGCAATTTTACTCTACCCATAACATGCAACTCACCGAGCATACAAATTTCCCTCGAACAACACCACCAATGTCTCACAAGTTTCCTTACAAAAGATACGGCCGCACAATATCCCCACAAGTTTCCTTAAATCATGACATTGTCAACCTTAGGTATCCAATTATGAAACTAAGTTTTGTACTCCAACTTAAACTTGTGATGTTCAAAAATTTAAGGTGAAATACATTTCTAAAAAGGCCATGTAACAGGAAAGATTGATCATTTTTTGTTGTTGGAGTGTTACTTTTGACAGTGCATTTTGTGAACATGTTAGGCTAATTACTTTATTAAATCAAAAAGTAGAAAACTTAATCACCTTTTTTAAAGGTTTAAAATCCAATAATTTAGATATCAATTATTCAAATTTCCATGCTACAAAAATAAATTTTCACAAGGCAACATAACCCATGCGAATAGAATGTTTTATAGGGAAAACAGTGGGTGTACGCACAGGGAAAACCTTATCCGTCTTGTCCTAACACTCCAGTTGAAGACACCACAGGAAATCATCCAGCAAGAACTGTCTCATTCCAAGTTATTATAAATATTTAACCACTTGATTAAATATTAAAAATATAATATTATAAAATAACAAGAAGAGATGGGCTTAACTCCTTGTCTTAGCATATTCGGATAGCTTAATTATTATCACTTTTAAAAAATTATTATTTTGAAATTAAATTTTATTTTACGACCAAAACAAGTAACTTATTTCTAAATTTCTTCAATAAAAGAATTATTCTAAAATTTACTTATAAGTATACTTTTAAACTTGGCCAAAAGATAACTAATTTTAATTTTAAAAAAATTTAATAGATGAGTAAAAATTATTTACTCCACTCAAAATTAGAAGAGAGCAATGATATGCGAAATTAAAGTCTCCAGCTTATAAAGCTGGTGAATTCTGGTTGTGGGGCAGCCAAAATGGCTTCCTCTTTCCCAAGCATTATTCCCCTATTAGAAGATGAATTCCAACACAAATAAACATGAATTTTTCTGTCTCCAATATTCTTGTGAACAGTGAAAAGCTTCACCTATTGGGGATTTTTTTTTTCCTGGGATTGCTTAATTTGGATAAAATTGCAATTATCTCTAAACAATTTTGATTTTACTTGTTTGTATTTTGCATAGTTTGTTTTCTTTAGTTCAAGCAACTAAAGGTACATTTGACATAGTTTTTGAAAGGGCAATTGGCGCAAAACGTCTCAACATTTGAAGGTTTTTATGGAAAACGTCCATACCTTTCATTTTTTGGCGCAGAACGTTCTTACCTTTCACATTCTTTGTGCTGAAGGTCCTTTTCACCAATTTTTAACATAAAATGGCCAATATACCGTTATATGTAAATAAAAAAAATAAAAGAAAAGAAAAATAAAAAATAAATTGCAGTATGCTCCTAAACTATTTTTAAAAATGCAAATCAGTCCAAAAAGTCGAGATTTTTTGCCTTTTTTTTTTTCAACCAAAATGCGTCCAAATTTCGGCAGCCTCCAGCCACCCAAGCTGTCGAACGTTAAAGCCATTTTACCATCTATACATCCCCACCAACAATCGACCTAAGTCTTGCAGGTTTGGCCGAAATTTCAACTGAAAACCAGCCATTCACGCACCAAAAAACTACCGGCACAACCCATTCCGACGACAACCAAGCCATGCCCAACATACTGATCGACTTTACTCATAGGATGCACCTATTCATGATCTTCAAACATCAAAAAATGCAACAAATCAACACCTACAATCTACCTTTTCGATCCCAATAAAAATACAGATTTTAAGTCCTTTTTCTGACTCCATTGGTAGGTCCCACGATCGTGGACCACCCACTCTGTACCCTCTCACTCTGGCGCATCTAATCCAAACATGGGTCACCACCAATTTGGTCTTTATTCGGTGAATCAAATTGAGGCAATTCGCGCTCGATGCATCTCCGATGACCCTCAATCAATTGATGAATCTCCACTACTGTAATTGACTAATTCTACCAAGAAATCCTCAATTCATGCGGGAACGACCATGGGTAATGATATAATTGCACCAAATCACCATTTCAATGAGCCAATTTCTAATCCTAAGCCAAGAACAATCCGTGCAAGCAAACAACCTGATTTTAATTCAATTGATGGATCCATTGTGTTTCAACATACAAATCAACTTGAGAGAAATGAAATTCAGGTTCAAAAAACACTTGGTAATCACTCATTGCAAGGTGCTTCGATGCCTACTTCATTACAGAAATTCCAAGCTTCAAATCTGGCATTTGGGTTCTTCATTCTTGGGTCCCCGATTACAAATACATATGAATTTTCTTCGAATATGAGCAAGGCTAAAAAGAAGAAGAAAATACACAATAAATATTGACAAAACCACCCACATTTTGATCATCTGTCAAAACTCGAGTTCTCAACAAGAGCAAGAAATATTAGTACTGATATTCTAAGTTATACACATCTGGCGGTTGGAGAATTAAAGATTCTTTCTTCAGAGCTGATAATTTGAGATAGATTTTATGGAACACCTAGGTAGGACTTACTGCAGTGTTTCTTGTTTAGTCATCTTTTTTGTTATTTTTAATATTTTTATAAATTTTGGACTAATTTGCATTTTTAAAAAAGTTTAGGAGCATACTACATTTTATTCTTTTTTTTCTTTTTTGTTTTATTTATATAGGAGAGTATATTGGTCATTTTATGTTAAAAATTGGTGAAAATGACTTTCAGCGCAAAGAATGTGAAAGGTAGGGACTTTCTGCGTCAAAAAAAATGAAAGGTAGGAACGTTTTCTACAAAAACCTTCAAAGGTAGGGACGTTTTGCGCCAATTATCATTTTTGAAAAATCAAAAGCTGATTTTTATTTTTATTTTATTTTTCAAAAAGAGGTTAACTAATGCTATAATGTCACATAATTCAATCGTATATTAGAATATATATTCATAGATTGAGAGTATTGATGTTAAAAATTAATTGTTCTACGTATGGTTCAGATCTATTGAAAAGCGTTTGAATCCAATAATTTATTGATATGAACTAGGTCCGTAAATTCATGTGTTGTAAAAACTATCATATCATATTGTATCAACCAGGGGTGGAGCTAGCCGTTTGAAGTTGGAGGATTCCAAAATTAAAGATATAGAGATGAAGGGGTGGGGGTCATGGGGGCTGCCCCAGAATTTTTCTTTTTGGATACCTTATTACAAGTGTTCCTTTCAAATTCTCATATTTTGAAGATGGAAATGAAAAATGAAATTGGTAAGGTTTAAGATTTTTATTCAATCTGAGGACAAAATGGTAATGACAAATACAAAATAAACCAAAAAAATAAAATTTTAAGATAAATAAAAAAATTTGTCAAAAATTTGGGGGGGTCCGGGTCCCCCC